GAAACAAGCTATATGAATGGTTGAATGTGAAGCTGATGATGTGCCCTGTAAACTTTCACTCAATGCAAAATAAAAACATTTAATTAAAAAAAAAAAAAAAAAAAGATCGAAGGGAGACTGAACAACCTACAATATGCAGATGGTACAACCTTGCTTGCTGAAAACAAAGAGAACTTAAACTGCTTACTGATGAAGATCAAAGATTACAGCCTTCAGTATGAATTGCACCTCAGTGTAAAGATAACAAAAGTCCTCACAACTGGACTAATAGATAACATGATGTTGTTAAATTCCGTGGTGTCAGTTCCGACTCATAGTGACCCTGCAACAGGGTCTCCTGAGGCTGCAAATCTTCACAGGAGCAGAAAGCCTCATCTTTCTCCCACAAAACAGCTAGTAGTTACAAACTGTCAACCTTGAGGTTAGCAGCCCAATTTGCAACCACTACGCTACCAGAGCTCCTTATGTAAGCAGGGGGAGAAAGAAAGACTAAAGTTGTCAATGATTTCATTTTGCTGGGAACCACAATCCAGCTCATGGAAACAGCAGTCAAAAAATCAGAAGACATATTGCATTGACAAATATGCTGCGAAAGACCTCTTTAGAGTGTGAAAACGCAAAGACACCAGTTTGAGAACTAAGATATACCTCATCCAAGTCCTGGTATTTTCATTTGTCTCATATGTATGTAAAAATTGGGTACTGAATAAGGAAGGTGTGGAAGAATAGATGCATTTGAATTATGGTGCTGGTGAAGCATATTGAAAGTCCCATGGACTGCCAGAACAAACAAATCTGTCTTAGAAGACATACAGCCAGAATGCTCCTTAGACTCAAGGATGGCGAGACTTTGTCTCTCGTTCTTTGGATATATTGTCAGGAGGGATCAGTCCCTGGAGAAGGACATCATGTTTGGTAAAGTGGAGGGTCAGCTAAAAAGAGGAAGCCCTCCAACGAGGTGGACTGACACAGGGGCAGAAAGGATGGACATAACAATTGTGAGGCTGGCACAGGATTGGGCAGGGTTTCATTCTGTTGTGCAATGTAGCGAATGAGTCAGAACTGACTAGTGGACACCTAACAACAACACAGAAGTTACTGACTTTGTTTAATACTTTCATCGCATCTATGAAGGTATATATGTCTTAGTAATTGGTTTTCTTTGAACTCCCCTCCATTTAAAACAGTCTTACCAACTAAGACTTATTAATACCATTTAAATTTAATGAAAGGTACTTGGAGTCCTAGTGTGGCACTGTAGGATAAGCACTGGACTGCAAGGTTGGTTTGAACTACAAAATCAGCAGTTCAAACCCACCAGCCACTCCTTGGGAACCCTGTACAGGGTCACTTTGAGTCAGAAGTGACTCCAGGGCACTTAACAACAACAAACAACGAAATCACTTTAGACTATTTAGGAGTACTTTTTAAAGCACGTATGTATGTATGCATGCATATGCACATATATATAGTTTGCTGTTATTAAGTTGCTAAGTAGTGGTTGTGTGCCACTGAGTTTGTTCCTACTCATAAAGACCCTGTATAGGGTTTCCAAGGAACAGCTGGTGGGTTTGATTCCAGCCTAGCTCTATCCATATCTACTACACAAAACATCACTGAAGCCGAGCGTTTAAATAAGGTTTGTTGGTAATACAACCAAAGTCCTTGAAGAAGAAAAGTTCTTCCTCTGTGAGCAATCAAAAAATGAATTTGAAAAAACAGCCCACCCTAAAGATGAGACTCCTAGACTAACAGGTGAATCCAAGAGAAATTAAATCTATCAAATAATCACCACATTCATAACCCAAAGGGGGCATGAGGAAGAGCATTCTAAAATGACTGCTCTTAACAGGACTCTATGTTGGATTCTTACAAGCAGTGTCTGTCCTCCAATGCAGCCTGTCACATCTGTACAATTCCCACTGGACCTTTCAAATCTGCAGAAAAAGGCTGTTTTCCCTACCCTATTCTATGTGAGCTCTGGTAGCGTAGTGGTTACAAATCTGGCTGTGAACCTCAAGGTCAGCAGTTCGAAACTACCAGCTGCTCCATGGGAGAAAGATGAGGCTTTCTGTTCCTGTAACGATTTACAGCCTCGAAAACCCTGTACAGGGTTGCTATGGGTTGGAATTGACTCGCCGGCACTTAACAACAACATTCTGCTTGTCCAAAAGTTTTAAGAAACGACGAATGTAAAAATAAAATAAAATAATTCAAATCATACAAGTGGAGAGCATGTGATTTTAAAGGTCAACTGATTCCCAAAATATGCCCTCTTCACTCTCACCTCAAAAAACTGGTTTTGTGACCTGTGACAGACTTAGGAAAGCCCTCCACTTTTCTATAACCTTCTTCTAACCCCCTATTAACTCTGTAAATGTCAATCACAGACATGCTAACTGTACTCTTATGCTTGTCTTTATAAACGTTTGTAAACAAACAGCCCTCAGAGCACTTTGTCAAGGGCTTCTTGACTCTGGTTTCCCCTTTTTGCAAAACATCCTTTTTTTCATGAATGAAACTCTTTGTTTTTTACTTTCATACAGACTCATGATCCTTTTTCTACTAAGACAGTCTTTACCATGGAATTCCTGGGTAGCACAAAAGATCAAGTGCTTGACTACTTACCGAAAGTTTGGTGGTTTGAACCCACCCAGAGTTGCCTCGGAAGAAAGCCCTGGTGATCTAAGGCTACAACCCTGGAAACCTTACAGAGCACAATTCTACTCTGCACACATGGGGTTACCATGAGTTGGAACTGAATCAACAGCAACTGTTGGGGTTTTTTTTGGAAGAGGTGGGGTGTGGGGGTAAGGATGTGGAAGGTTGGTAATTATCAAAGTAAAATTTTTAAAAATAAAATAATACTCAGAGCACTTAGTACCATATCTGGCACATAATTAGCGCTCAGGATGATAACGATCATGACAGAAGTTTCTCCAACACATCAGCCCAGGGTTAGAGGTGGCAGACAAGGAAGCGAGATACTCAGCAAGGGACCCAGAGCATCTCTCCCCAGTCCCACCTCTGTTCGTAGGCCTGAGCAGACTGCTCTATGGCCACATTCATGGTTTTCTTCTGCATGAACAGGCGCCGGAGCAGCTGCTGGTAGACATGGTCGTAAGCGGCCTTCTCAAACCGGAGGTCCTCAATCTCCTTCCGGAGCTTGGCGTTGGTGGTCAGCATATTGTCAAAGTGGATGGTAGCCTGTGGGATGGCTCATTGTTAATTTTGTAAGGTCTTGCAGTTAGAAAAGAAAATGTTTCTTTAAGAGTTGCAAACGGAAGCAGTAGAGGTAAAATGTCATGATGTCTGTAATTTGCCTTAAAATACCTCAGGGGGGCAGGATGGGGAATGACCAAAAACAGAAAAACATTAACAATTGCTACATCTAATTGATGAGTATGTGGGTGCTCATTATTTTATTGCCTCTACTTTTCTGTATGTCTTAGTAAATTTGTCTTTATGTTATGGTTATGTGCCATGGAGTTGGTTCCAGCTCATAGCAACCATGCATAGGGTTTCTGAGGCTGTAAATCTTTACAGGAGCAGAAATCCTCATCCTTCTCCCACTGAACAGCTGGTAGTTTAGAACTGCTGACCTTGAGGTTAACAACCTCACTCATAACCACTAAATTAAGGTAGTGTGAAATGCCAGCTACCAAGAAAAAGTTCCTCATATTAAGAGATTTTATTTGATTGGAGGTTTTCAAGCTATGTTTTGAGAAACCTTAGGATTCTTCAGGGCTAAGATTGGGGAAAGGATCCCTGGTGGCACAGTGGTTGAGTGCTAAGTCAGCAGTTCAAATCTACCAGAAGTCCTGTGGGAGAAAAGACCTCGAATCTGCTCCCATACTGGTTACATCCTAGGAAACCCTATGGGGCAGTTCACTCAACCACAAACAGCAATAGGATTGGGGTAAGACAAGGGAGACACCCAGGGAACCCAATTTAAGGATGTGCTCACTCTCAGGTATTAACTCTGCATTTTCAAAAGAGTTTTATACCCTAAGCTCTTTGTTATTCTAAATTTGCACATTTCACTTACTCTCAGGAAGATAACAATTACCAGTCATTTGCCCTTTAATATGAATTTTACTCCAGGTCCATTGACATGCTATCTGTGTCTGATGGTGGGATAAAAGGCCTGACCCATAAGGAGAACTCTTGGGTCTCATTGAGTAGGTAAAGAAGATTTTAAGGGCTCTTGGAGCATTCTGGGATGCAGAAATCATTGTTAGAGATGGCTACCTCATTTACTAAAAGGTATGACCACCCCTGGTCAGGTAGGAAGAGAAGAGGGAACCAGTTTGAAACATAAGAAAGTAGAAATGAAACAGGAGACACTTGTAGAAATCAAAAGAGCTACAAGGAAATACTAGGAACAATTGTACACCAACAAATTGGATGATTTGCATGAAATGCATGGTCTCCTAAGAAGGCACAGACTACCAAAAAAGACTCAAGAATAAACAAGGAATCTGAGTAGGACTAAGATGAAAAAGCAGAGCTCAACAGACAACGAATCACACATGCATTCATTAATCCATTCACTCAACCAACAGATGTTTGCTGAGCACCTACTGTGAGCCTCACACTATACCAGGAATTACTACTATATTTCTAACTGAGAGAATCATGGGTCTTCAGGAGAGCTCACTGCAGTGCAGGTTCCTGGGGCTTACCCTGGAGGTTCTAAACTCAGTGGATCTGGAGGGGAATTGTTGTGTGCCATCTAGTTGGTTCTGACTCAAAGTCACTCTGCATAGGGTTTCCAAGAGGCTGGTAGGTTAGAACTTCTGATCTTGCAGTTAACAGTCCAGTGTTTATGCTACAGCACCACTCCAGGGTCCTGAAGAGGACTTAGGAATTTATATTTTTATCACACGGCTTCAGCATTCTGAGATCACTACACATGATAATAAAAGGCACTGTTTGGCCCTCAGGCACCTTCCAGGCTAGTGGAAAAGCAAGAAAGATCAATTCCACCTGCAACATGACAGTCTGGTGTTTTGCACCTTGAGACAGTGATAAGACCTCTCTCCAAATCAGTTCATTTCCCTTTCTCATGTAGTAGGAGCTACAGGCTCATAAGTCAAACTGGAATATGTTGTTGATCCATGCTTACCATTAAGTTTCCTTGCCTCTACCTTTTCTTTTCCTGGGTGCCACCTTTCCCTCACTCTTCATCCACATAGTTTGATTAGGACTACCATTCTACCTTTGGGGGGATTTACAAGGGTAATCACGTAACTCCGGCTTGATGAATCTAGGTATTGCATTTTTCTAGCCATGCTGTTTGGTTCACAGATGAGCACATAATCCAAGCTGGTCCAATGAGAAGCATCCCTGAGACTTGTGATTGAACTCTGAGGAATAAGCAGCTCCCTTTATGCCTTTATGGAAGATTAGAGCTCTTCAAGCCATATTCATGTGGGGTGCTGCCCAAGAATAAAAGTCAATCAGAGGAAAATAGATAGAAAGAGTGTCCTGAAGACCTGGTTGGGGCAGCTATGCCTGAAGGCCTCCTTTCCACCCCGAAATTTCTCAGTTCTATGACCAATAAATTCCCTTTGCTTAAGCAATTGAGAGAATCTTGCTTACTGCAAAAGTCCCTGTGGATTGAGAGTGATCCAGAAACAATGCGTTTCCCTTGATACAGATATATATATGTGTACGCCTAACATTTTCTTGAGTCCTGGTGTGTGTGGTGCTGCAGGATAATGTGCTGGACCACAAGATTGGTTTGAGCTGCAAGGTTGATGGTTCAAACTCACCAGCCGATCTATACAGGGTTGCTATGAGTTGGAAATCACTCAACAGCACTTAACAACAACAACAACATTTTCTTAGAGACAACATAAAGTACAAAATAGTATATTAGCTATAGTAGAGGAAGAAGCCTCGGTGGTACAATGGCTTATGTTGGTCCGGTACCTGAAAGGCCAGTGGTTTAAATCCACAAGGACAGTCTACTTCCATAAAGATTTACAGCTTCCGAACCCTATGGAGCAGTTCTACTGTCCTTAGGGTCACGATGAGTCAATATCTGTGGTTCAATAATAGACGATGAATGAGCAGATTCCTTGGGGGAGGAGGCAAATTATCCTGCTTCGTAAAAGGTATTATTTAAGCTACTTCTTGAAAATGAGAAGGAGCTTTTGTGACATGGAACTATAAGTAGACACTGGGTGATGGAATAACAGCATGTCCTAAGGTCCAGAACGCAAGGAAAAGAAAGGCATGCTGGGTAATGATGAGCCATACAGAGTGGGTGGAACAGAGTGGGTGGTAAGTTCTAAAGGACTGCCTGGCCTGTGTGTACACCATTAGTCCACCTTATCCTGAATCAACCAATGAAATGAGATGCTCTGCTAATGGCTCAGATGATGTCATTCTTTACCCTGAGCAAAGCTGGGCAGAGCTGTTTACAAAGTGGCAGAGAACACCATACATACAAGATTCAAACGAGTTTCCAAACTGTGGATCTGTTTTTGCAGTTTTCGGGGGTTATTGGCCTCCTGCATTTTGGTGAAGATCTGCCTTTGGTTTATAATCTTTTTCTCCATCTCAGTAATCTGGAAAAAGAAAGAGAAAAACTGAGTTTGTTAACATCTGTATGGATATAACTCTACAGTTCACTAACTCAAGTGTATTAAAAACAAAATGTTCTTTCTCCTCCTAAATATGGAATTTTATTTTCCATCTTGGATGCCTGCTCAGTTTAATGTAACCTGAGCCAGTTTATGTAAAAATGAGGCAATGTAGTTTCTACTCTTACCTACACATGTAAGTCTCGTTCAAGTGTTCCTAATTCCACTGTATCCTAAAACTATGGTTTCTAGTCAAAATGGCATTGTTCCCAAATGGGCTGTCTGTACATTTGTAGAGGTGTTTTTATGGCTGTTGTAATGATGGGACACAACCATTCTGCAATGTGCAGAAATAACCGCAAATACTCAAGAATTTTCTCCCAGTCCTTGGGACTTTCCAGTGCCCCTCTAGACATTGTGTATGTAAGGAATCTCTTCTTTATACGTCCCTGTACCTGAAATCTTTGTTTGAGGGTGGTAAACAAACAGGCTGGATTTGGCCCTGGGACTGGAATTTGCTGCCCCAGGTTTACTCTAAACCAATTATGGCAAATCCATTTCCCTTTGCCAATGATTGGCCTAGAAGTTATTACGTTGCCCAGCCCAGGCCAATGAGAGGAAACCTGCTGAGGTATTTTGTGAATATTCTCTCCTCAGAAGACACTATCATGTAATTTGCCCTTCTTCATATCTTTGAATGTGGTTGTGTGAGAAGCTGATATCATTTAAGCTTTGGTCGCCATTTTGTGACAATGAGGAAATGACCAAGAGGATCAGAGAGAGATGGTAAATCATCGCTGGGATGGCCTAGTCCCAGACAGATGCCTTATTACATAAGAAAAGCACATGTTTCATCTCTCAGCTGCTTTTATTTGCAGTCAAACACATTCTCACTAGTGCTTCCAAGAAGATGGCAGCTTATTATCAGGAACTGAGGGTACAGTTGAGTGGCCCACAAACTGGTGAGGTAAATTCATTTTATTTATGATTGATATTCTCCTGGGCTTGGGCTTCAGCCATATAACACCACACTTACAAAATGCCCACAGAGCAAAACTAAAGAGCTTTATCAGTTCTGACAGACATACAAAGTCAAGTTCCCTGTTCTACTTTGTATCCCTTTCCTGCCCTCTCTGTGCACTAGCAGCATCCTCAACACAAACCCTCACGAACTCACTGATGAACTAAAACAGGGACTGGTCTTCAGTTTATGGAGGGCAGCATCTCCAGACTGCCACATCTGCTCTAAAAGGACGTCCACCCTGCTGGAGCTGACACTGTCCCCTCCCCACCTGGCCGAGTTCTCGGCGGGCTTCCACTCCTTCTCAACGAGAAGCTGTAGCATCAGCATTTTTTCAGAGGCTCTTGTGATTAAATTCAGAGTAAAGATCTCTTTGGTGTCTTTGTGTTGGACACTGCTTTTGTGACACTGAGAATAATTAGATCTCTACCTAATGGGAGACATTATTGAAACCTGCACTGGTGGAGAGTGTATTGCCTAAGCAAGTTGCTGTTTTCCAATCAGCTTATTAATTATTTTGTACGACCATGCAGTGCTGATAAGGTTCCCTGTCTCCAGTAACCTCTTGCAAGGATGGGGTTCTGGGCTCAATTGGGCCTGGAGTGGAGGGATTCTGGAATGTGCCCATCCTGGGATTAAATTTGAATAAAGAGGATTTGCTTTAGCTGGTGAGGGTCATATTCTTTTAAGGACCCTAAACTAAGTTGTCTCTTCATAATGCTTCTGAGGATCTGTGCTCCCCTCTTTTTTTCAATTTTCCTTTATTACCTCCTTTCTTATTCATTCATTCACAAGTCATTAATTCAGTCATTCATCAATGTTTATCACATGTCTGGGCCCTAGAGTGGCACTGTAAAATAAGCACTGGACTGCTAACTTCTTTACAAACCCACCAGCCACTGTTGGAAACTCTATACAGGGTCACTATGAGTCAGAACCAACTCAATGACACGCAATAACAACCTCAACATTAAATACCTGCTCTGTACCAGTCAATAGGAGTATGATGGTCATGGAGACAGAGATGGCCCCTGCCCTCAGAGAGCTGACTATCTAGATCTAGGGGTAGAAAATCATACAGGTGTAAGTCCTAGGGGGAAGAAGATAAAAATTATTCTGGATGTTTGAGCACCATCTGGGTGTTTGAGGCGAGACCTGAAGGATGAAGAGAAGTTCCCCAAGCAGAAAAGAGGGAGAAGAGCCTTCCAGGCAGAAGGAACAGCATGTGTAAAGGCATGGAAGTGAAAGGTAACCCAGTGGGTTCCAAGGACATCAGGAAGGCCGGAGTGGATGGAGCACAGAGAGGAAGGGACCCCCGGAGAGAAGGTGGAACAGGTGGGAGGGGCACCATTTAGTAGAAAAACTAACCCAAGGAGTTGGTCTTTATCGAAAGAACAATGGGAACTTACCAGGGGGGATTTTTGGAGAGGGGAGGGAGTTGTACTTTTTTTTTTCTTCTAATAATAAATTTATATACAAGGAATCTTTGTGTTGCAATGGTTAAGACCTTGGCTGTCAACCAAAGAGTCTGAGGGTCCCACCCATGAGTGGTTCTACAGAAGAAACAACCTGACCACTGGCTCCCATAAAGATCATTGTCTAGGGATCCCTACGGGGCAGTGTTACTCTGCCACATGACATCACTAGATGTCAGAATCAACTCCACAGCACACAATACATCACAACTTATATATGGAGGGGGCTTCCAAAAGCTCATAAAAAAATTCAATTATTGATTAATTCTATTTTCCTACAAGTTTTTTTTGAGCCCCCTCATACAGTCCTGATGGGTGTTGAGGTGCCCTGGTAGTGGAGTGGTAAAGTGCTTGGCTTCTACAAGGTCGGTGGTTCAAACCCACCAGCCACTCCTTGGGAGAACTATGAGGTAGTCTGTTTCTGTAAAGATTGTTGTTGTTGTTAAGTGCCGTTGAATCAATTCCAACTCATAGCAACCCTGTATAGGGTTTCCAAAGAGTGGCTGGTGGGTTTAAACCACCATCCCTGCTGTTAGCAGACCAGTGTTTATCCTACAGTGCCACAGCAAGACTCTTCCATAGAGGTTGTTGGTGTTGTTAAGGGTCATCGAGACCTTGTATAAAGGGTTTCCAAGGAGCAGCTGGTGAGTTTGAACCACCAACCTTGTGTTTCAAACCAACCTTGCGGTCCAGTGCTTTATCCTACAATGCCACACCAAACCCTAAGGGACAGTTCCACTCTCTTCTATAGGGTGGGTCACTGTGGGTCCGAATCAATTTGATGGCAACCAGTTTGGTTTGGGTTTGTGGATGCTGGGGTGTCAGGTGCTTCCCCCTCCTTTCCTGCCGCTACTCGGGGTCTTTTAGGGGACGCCTGTAGGAGAAATGCCACACCTTCTCATCCAGCTCCAGCAGCAGCAGCTTCGTGGATTGAATCAGGGACTCGTAATCCTCCTTGGTTTGCAGCAGGAACCGCACCTCCAAGTAGTTCTTCTCATTCAGATTCATGTTCTTGGAGGACTTGATGAGACTCAGAAGCAGGGTGATCTCATCCCGCTCGTCTTGCAGCGTCTTGATTTCTTTGCTGGCGGGGAGAGAAGGAAATGGTGCAAGGAGAACTCTGAGCCTCCAGAGGTTTCCAAGAATGTTATGGACTGAATTGTGTACCCTCCAAAATACGTGTTGTAAGTCCTCTACCTGTGGTTAGAATAGGTTCTCTTTGTTGTGTTAATTGGATAGGATAAGTGTGGTGGTACCGGTGTGCTATGCAGTCGGTTCTGACTCACAGTGGACGCTGCACAGGGCTTCTGTGCCGAGGACCTGCCTCGACATAGGTGTTTGGTTCACAAGGTGGGGATATCTGGGGGCGACAGGGATAGCAGAAGATGAGACACAAAGACGCAACGAGAGAGACAAAGAGACACCCCGAAACCAGAGTGGATGCATTACTGGTGTGCGGCAGATCTGGCGTGGTGAACATCTTAGCTATGAGGGCAGTAAGATCCCGCATAGCAAACATCTTAGCTATACGGGCAGTACGTTCCCTTTGCTAGCTGGTCATCCACGCATGCCTAGTCAGCCGTATAGCACGCTCTCCAAGCTGTGATGCACACCTGGTTCGGCCCGCGCCTCCGTTTTATTTAGGGGAGGCACTTTAAACAAAGCTGGGAGGGACTAAGACAAGGTACAGCTAACATACGTAATTTTCCAGACATTCAGGCAGCTTTACAACGTACTTCGCAGGTTCGAATCTCACGACCATAACTTGGTTCCTCAAGCTTAATTAACATACCTTTTAGCACCTAGCCTCAAATGGGGGAAGGAAAAGGAGGATTGGGAGGAGTCCCATTGTGTCTGCTGCCCAGCCCAGGTTTCTCAGGAAGCGAGATGCCTCGGTGAATAGGGCTGCACCTGGAAACACTTTAGGAAGGGTGTCCTTTTGTCCTTAGAACAAAGACCCGGGGAGCCACCCAATTTACTTTGACTGAATTCTTTGAGGGAAGAACTTTGCCTTTTTGGAATTTTAGTCTCGGCTTTTAGGAAACTATTACATTTATTAGTGGATATCAGGGCTTCATGTATGCAATTAATAATAAACATAACTGAACACTAAGATGAAAAACAGTTTGCTATGTCTGCTAGGTGGCTAGAGTCTGTTCCTCAGAGCCTGTGGCTTGTATGGTCTGCAACACTTGGGCCCACATGGCCTCGAACTCCTGACCGGGTCTGGACGGTCTGCAACACTTCTGAAGCTGTAAATCTTTACAGGAGCCAAAAGCCTCATATTTCTCCCATGGAACAGCTGGTTGTTTTGAACTGCTGACCCTGAGGATAGCCACCTGACTTGTAACTACTATGCTACCAGAGCTCCTGGTCTAAGTGTACAGTGTGGATATAAAAGAATAGATTTAACAAGCCAGCACAGATGGTGGAAGATAGATGTTAAATCACACGAAGATCACAGGAAGCTGAAAAGAAACAAGGACCTCTCCCGCAGAGCAGACACAGACAGAAAGTCTCTTTCCCTGTAGACCAAAGTCATAGTGAACCTGTAGGACAATGCAAAACTGCTCCACAGGGTTTCCAAGGCTGGAAATTTTGCCCCCAGGAGGAACTGATGGGTTCTAAGCATTGGCTTTTTGGTTAGCAGTCAAGCACTTTAATCACTATGCCACCAAGGGTCTGGTCCCTCCCTAGATATAGTACCCTGAATTTGGACTTCTAGTCTAAACTAAGAAAATAAATTTCTGTTCATTTGAGTCATCCACTTGTAGTATTTCTGTTATAATAGCACTAGATAAGTACTGATGTGGCTCTGTAGGGTCAACATTGGACTTCTAAGTTCAAGGTCGGCAGTTCAAAGCCACCAGCTGCTTGGAACCCCTATACAGGGTCGCTCTGAGTTAGAACTGACTCGAAGGCACTTAACAACAAGAGATAACTACAATAGAGTTTCTACTTCCCATCAGATGTGATCATGCGAGAGATGAAGGGAAGGTAGGCATAGAGTGGTTTCAGACCCAGGCCTGAGACCTGTTGTTGTTGTTATTGTTGTTGGCTGCTGTCTAGTTAGTCCACGATTCATACCAACTGAACAAAACACTGCCTGATCCTTAGCCATCCTCATGATTGTTTGTGGGACGGACCATTGTGATCCACAGGGTTTTCACTGGCTGATTTTTGGAAGTAGATTGCCAGGTCTTTCTTCCCTGTCTTAGTCCACTAAAACCTGTTCTGCATCAGAGCAATAGACAAGCCTCCTCTGATGAACAGATGGTGCTTGTGCATGAGGTACATTGGTTAGAAATCAAGCCCGGTTCTCCTTCACGGAAGACAAGAATCTGACATTGAATCACCACTGACTGCTCTCTGCCTGAGACTATTCACTGCAGTTTCCACAGCTCTGCCCTTCAATAAAGAGAGACTGTTTTCCTAGGGGACAATTTGCAATTGGGCCTGTCAAAACCCATTCCCTAGACATGGCTGGAGCCCCATCTTCTCCTTAGCCAGCAGTTCCACTGGCATTTCTCTGCCTCTGTCTGCTTCCAGATTTGACAGCCAATTATCTCTGGTAACAAGGGGCAAACATCAGACAAGGTTTTTCAAGCTTGTGTCAACCCAGAGTGGCACCGTCACCTAACCTCCACTTGTTTCTCTACTTGGGCTACTAATGATTTATGATATCTGATTGATATGAGTCTCCGCTTTTCTCTTCCCCGATCTCTTGTGGAAAAAAGACAAGGTGAAAGTGGGCAAGAAAGAGGAACGTTGGTAAAGAGAGGGATTTGGAGAAAAGGAAAGGAGACTTGAGAAACTGCACACTGCACAGCAGAGAGTGGTTGCATTGCTCAGAGTGGTTTGTAGGCCAGCCATCAGCATCCTTTGGAAGCTTATAGAAACGTAGACTCTCAGGCTCCAATCCAGACCTATTGATTCAGAACCTGCTTTGAAACATGCTCAAGTGATTAGAATGCACATTGAAGTTTTAACAGCACCTGTCTAGAACAGCAAAGAATGTTCTAGAGAAGAGGCTGGCAAACTTTTCCCTGCAGGAAGTTAGAAAGTAAGTATTTCAGGCTTTTCAGGTCATAGCGACTCTATTGCAGACACTCAGTTCTGTCACTGCAGCACAGCTGTCATCAGCGACACACAAATAAATAGGCACAGCTGGGTGCCAATAAAACTTTATTTATAAAAACAGGTGGTGCCAGATTTGGTCCTCGGGCCATAGTTTTCCAGCTCCTTTTATGAAACAGAGCTGCCTAATATTCAGTGATGGAAATGTCCTTTATCTATGAGGCCTAATAGTAGGTTTGTGTGGCTACTGAGCACCAGAAATGCAGTTCCGCAACCGAGGACTGAAATTTTGTTTTACTTTAAGGAATCAAAAAAATGTAAATAGCTACATGTGGCTAATGATTGATGGTTTGTGGATACCCAATTCTGTTGTGTACCGTCAAGTAGGTTCTAACTCATAGTGACCCTGTATAGGGTTTCTGAAGCTGTGAAGCTTTAGGGGAGCAGAAAGCTTCATCTTTCTCCCATGAAGCAGCTGGTGAATTCAAACTGCTGGCCTTGTGATTAGCAGCCCAACACAAGGCCATCAGTTTGAATTCACCAGCCTTCTGATAATATGTCTGAAGTATGAGAGATGAAGTCTAGCCATCCTGGCTTCCAAGGAGCACTCTGGCTGCACTTCTTCCAACACAGATCTGTTTGTTCTTTTGGCAGTCCATGGCACTTTCAATATTCTCCTCCAACACCATAATTCAAATGCATCAAATCTTCTATGGTTTTCCTTATCTACTGTCCAACTCTCACATTCATATGAGGTTATTGAAAATACCACAGTTTGGGTCAGGCGCACCTTAGTCCTCAAACTGACATCTTTGGTTCTAGAGACGGCCGTTTATCTTTTAAAAAACCTATAACACCTGTGATTTTTCTCGCCCTTGTAACCTTCTCCAAGGAGTCCTAGTAGTGCTGTGAGCTAAGCAAAAGGCTGCTTAATTGCAAGGTCAGTGGTTCAAACCCACCAATTACTCTGCAGAAGAAAGATGAAGTTGTCTGCTCCCATACAGATTTTCAGTCTCAGAAATCCTAAGAAGCAATTCTACTCTGTCCTACAGAGTCACTGTGAGTCAGAGTTGACTTGATGGCAGTGGGATTGAGTTGGCTTAACCTTCTTCTGGAAAGGGGTCTTTGTTAAGGTGGAGAGAGAAAAATAAGAGAGACTTAGTACAACACTATACCAGATGTTATGGACTGAATTGTTGTTGCTAAGTGCCACCGAGTCAGTTCCAACTCATCGTGACACTGTATAGGGTTTCTGAGGCTTTTAAATTTTCAACTGGAAGGTTCGTCTTTCTTCCATCGAGAGACTGGTAAGCACGAACCGTGGACCTTGTGGTTGGCAGTCCAGTATTTATTGTATGGACTGAATTATGTCCCATAAAACAAGAGTTGTAAAACCTTACTCCTAATTCCCAAATGGGTATTATCCCATTTGGGGAAAGGATTTCTGTGTCATGTTAATGCGGTCATATCAATGTAGGGTGTGTCTTAAGTCAGTCATTTCTGAGATCTAAAAGGAGCAGGTTGGGCACAGAAGCAAGCAAGCATAGACTGAGGAAGACAGATGCCACACAACATGATGAATGCCAAGGAACCGAGGAACAGAAGCTGGCAAGAGACAAGGACCTTTCCTCAAAGTAAGAAAACCTTCCCCTAGAGCCTGCGCCCTGAATTCAGACTTCTAGACTTTCAGAAGAACAAACAAACTGCCTTAGAAGAGGTATACCCAGAATGTTCCTTTGAAGTCAGGATGAGAAGACTTCATCCCTGCTACTTTGGACATATTAACAAGAGGGACCAGTGCCTAGAGAAGGACATCATGCTTGGTGGTAAAGTGGAGGGTCAGTGAAAAAGAGGAAGACCCCCCCCAACAAGATGGACTGCCATAGTGGCTACAACAAATGGGCTCAGGCATACTAACTAAGGATGGCTCAGGACCAGGCAGTTTTGTTCTGTTGTATGTAGGGTCACCATGAGGTGGAACCAACTTAAAGGCACCTAAAAACAAACAACTACAATAAATAACCTCCTAAACTGTAGAAGAAGAGATTTCTGTTTATTCAAGGCATCTGGCACTCGAGAACTAAGACGCTCACAAACTCAAACGTAGGGGACAGTCATCTCCCACAACTCAGGACTGATGTTTAGACAGCAAACAAAAGCTCAGTGGAGAGAGAAACAGGAACCTGAGGCATCGGGCACCTTCCTCTGGAGCCCAAGAAACCCCTGGATCTTAATCATAAAAACCCCTCCTTACTACAACATCTCGGACAGTCTTCTCTTAAAACCAGTGTCTTTAGGCAGAAGACCACAGGTCCCCAGAAGTCAGTTCCTCAAAACAATTGAAAGCAAGGACTCAAATAGATACTTGAACATTGATAGTGTGACATCACAGATGGTAAAAATGATTAACATGCTCAGTTGCTAACTGAAAGGTTGGTGGTTCGAATCCATTCAGATGTACCTCAAATGAAAGCATTGGCTATCGACTTCTGGAAACTTCAGTCATTCAAAATGATGAGAACTTCTTAGCCACTACCCAACAACTTGAGGCAATGAGTTGCAGAAGCCTGGGGTCTCAGGACTATAGTCTCAGGGGATAACACGGTTAATCACATAACATAGTCCACAAAGACAATGTTCTACATACTACTTTGGTATCAAATGGGATCATATAAGCTCATAAGCGGCCATCTAAGGTGCAACTATTGGTCTCTCCATGTGCAGAGGAAAGAAGAGTGATGAAAATTGAAGATACTTGGGATCAATTAATCCAATGGACTAATGGAACACATGAAATCAGTCGTCATGACTCCAAGACCAGAAGTAGATGGTGCCAGGCTTGCACAACCAACTGCTCTGATAGGGATCATAGTAGAAGGCTTCAGCCAGAGTGGAAGACAATATGGAACAAAACTCAAAATTACAAAAAGATCACGCTTAGTAGTCAGAAAGGGACTGGAGGAACCAGAGACTATGGTCCTTGGCCACCATTCAGGTTTAGAATGGAACTCACCCACATGGCCCAATTTTTAATTAAGTGGTAGATAGCCATATGGAGGGACAAAAACACTAGGGAAGTATGCTCACCATGGAATTCAAGATCAAAAGGGCAACATTTACCTGGGGCATGATTCAGAGGGGTTGTGAAGGAGGGTGGGATGGAGGGAGGAAGAGAGATAATTGTTGCTACATGGAATCATTGAGATGAAACAGTGTGTGTGATTGGTTGGATGCAAAACTTAAGAGCAACCTTATGTGTGTCAAAGTAGAACTGTGCTCTCCACAAGATTTTAGTGGGATTTAACCCGCAACACTCAGAAAAACTGTTTTCTGTAAACCTTGGCTCAGGTCACAATAAAAAGTTTCAAATAACAACAACAACAACAAATCCTGTTATTGAAGGCCCTGTAGAGAGCACAGTTCTACTTTGATACACAGGGTTGCTATGAATTGCTGTCAACTCAACAGCAAGTGTTTAATGGTCATTGTAGCATTATTCACAGTAGTCTCTCAATGGAACGGGTCCAAAAAATGCTTTCTACCCATACTGTGAAATATTATTCAATCTTAAAAGAGAAACAGTATGGATGAACCTTGAAAACATTATGCTCAGTGAAAGAAACTGGATACAATACGAGAAATATTACATGATTCCACTTACAGGAGATGCTTAGAATTGGCAAACACAGACACAGAAAATAGATTTGAGGCTACCAGAGGGCTGGGGAGGGAGGATTAATGCTTAATGGGCACTGAGCATTTGTTTGTGATGACAGAACTACACTGTTGTAAGAGGTGCACAATATTGTAAACATAATTAATAACTCAGCATGTTGTTGTTGTTAAGTGTCCTCAAGTCAGTTCCAACTCAGGGCTCTGTATAGGGTTTCCGAGGAGTGGCTGGTGGGTTTGAACCGTTGACCTGAGGCTAGCAGTCTGGTGCTTATCCTACAGAGCCACATCAGGACTCCAATAACACTGAATAGTACATTTAAAAATAGTTTAAATGGCATATGTTAGATATATTTTTACCACAATTTTTTTTTTTTCTTTTTAAAGGCAAAAGTAAATTCCTGCCTCAAAGGCCACAAGAGAAGAAGGCAAATACTATGAAACCAAACCCAAAATTTTTTTCAAGTTCACTCAGAACAAAATTCTGGCAGTCACTTACTGCTGGTTTGTGATTTTCTGCTGGGAGCGGAAGTTAAAGGCCTTCCGGCTGTCCACCATTTTACGGAACTGCTGCCTCAGTCTGCGAAGCTCCGTCTCTGCCTGCTGCTCTTTGGTCTTCTCTGAAACTTCCTGGGGAGACTCGGAGTCTTTTCTTATGGGCTTTTTTGGTTCAGAGAGACAGAAGGCAGGGGACAACAGGTTAGACAAAGAAGGTCACATTTCAGCTCAGGGTGGGGAGGGGAAAGGCGGAAAGCCACCATGAGTGATGTGATGTGTATCTGTTAAATGGAAAACCTGTCCAGGGTGGCCATGGTAAAAGAAGGCTGGACCCCATAACTGTGTACTGAAAAGGCAGCCTTGTTATGCTGGGTAAGAGGGTGCTCTTTGGAGTCTTAGGTTCAAGTCCCAACTCTTGCCACTTATGAGCTGTGTGGCTTTGGACAAGTCACTTAACATCTTTGAGTCTCTAGTCCCTTGTCTATAAAATGGGTATGCATTTTATATGTATTGATGTGCTGTGAAAATTAAATTAAGAAATAAGTGTAAAGCAAACAGTACAGTGCCTGACCCATAGTTAAACACTCCTTACACAGAACTCTTCTTACCATCGGCATCTTGAAGGACTGTGCTTGCCTCTGCTCAGTCAAAGCCAGGGATTGCTTCTCTCTCTCTCTGCAATGCCCTGTCCACAGAAGATAACTTTTAAGTCAGCCTACAGCACCTCCTTTCCCCCTCCCCCACCTTCTGCGGTCCCTTCCTCCTCCCTCAACTTGGCACCCGAGGAGGACACAGCAGATGGCTGCCCGGGTGTGAAAAGAGGTACTTAAAAAAATAAACGCAATGTTTGCTTGAAACCTGTTCCTCACACGATTTATTATTAGGAGCTGGGCAGATTGTTCTGGAGTGCCAGTTGCCCTTCTGCTCTCTGTGTTCCCAAAGAGTAAGGGGCAAAATGGCATCAGGTTGTTGTGTACCCTAGTGGGGTTAAAACGAAATTTGCCCAACTTCAGTTTCAGCTGGTGGTGCTGAGAGGCATTTTGATAATACCATTAATTTAAATTCCTCTGACCCGTAAGAACTCAGAGGAGACCATTGCACCCCAACTCCCAGACTTCAGAGGATACATTCTTGAAGCAGAAACTTCAAGCTGATGCAGAGGTTAAAAAAAGAAAAATGCACTAGTTGTAGAGATGTTTTGAACTGAGCTCAAATCTCTCCTCGGCTACTGACTGTACTTGTTAAGTGCTGTGGAGTCGATTCCAACTCATAGCGACCCAGTATACGGTTTCCTAGGAGCGATTGGTGAGTTTGAACCACCGACCTTGTGATTCAAATCGATCTTGAAGACCTACGCTTATATTATTACAGCGCCACACTAACTTGGGTAAATCAGTTCTCTGGGCCTCAATTTCCTCATCTGGAAGATGGGAAACATTCTAGAAGCCACCTCACAGACTGTTGAGCTTGTAAGGACCCTATCACTGTGCCTGGCACATTCTAAATGTCCAGTAAACTGTGGTTGGTATGGTATGAGTTATTTCATGTAGTGAACATTTAGAGTAGTGAATGTTTACGAGAGTTTGGGGAACTCTTCCACCCCGAATTTCCTTTGGGAAGTCACACCCTCCCTCACTCCTGGAGCTTCTGGATTGGAGCGTGTGTCTCTAGATGGGCCAATCAGAATGCCAGACCCCTGACTAATCTGCACATTTCCCTAAAGCCGGCGGGCCTGAGTGATTATTAGTTCAGAGACAAGGACAGGATCCTGCCTAGTTTAAGCAGAATGAATAGTGGGATTTAACCGTGAACATTCAGAAAAACTGTTTTCTGATACACTTGAATTCAGGTGAATTTAGATTGACAGTGAGTGGCATCCATGCTACCTCTGCACGGGGCCTGAGAATAAAGCCAAGATGGAGGAGCACAGACAAATCCTGAGGATAGCATCCAAGCATTTGAATTAAGTCAAGTCTGAAGATAACATCTGGGTGACGATCAATTACATGAAGCCCTATATTCCTTTAAAGCAACCCACAGCGTGTTTTCTAAATGAGTTATGTGGTGAAGTCCAGAGGCCCAGGTCAGGGTCTTCAGTCTATTCATTACAGCATCTATAGGACAAGGCACATGAGAAACTCTTGGCAAATACTGGTTGAATGAATGAAGTTTCCTCCCACAGAGATCGTTTTTACAGTCTAATATTTAATTCACTGGAGAACAGGAGGTCTCCTCTTGATAGGTGTTGATAGAAAAGCTTGGCCCTTCGTAAAGGGTTTACAGGGGCCCTTCAGGCAGTCAGCAGTGTGGATTATAAAATATCAGGTCTTCTGGGAGCTTGAGGTAAGGAAGGGCGTGGGAGCTGTAAAACTGAACCTGGGTTGCATAACCTTGCATTAAATGAAATACCTGCTTAGGGCAAAGCAGCAGTGCTGCAACATACGCATTTTTTTTCTACCGTAATTACCCCCTCCTCTTTTTTTTTTAAAGGTTATTATTTTTTAAATTTAGGATTGCTATGGGATAAAACTTAAGTTTGTAGGCTTTCTTGTTATTTTACACCGTGTGGCGCTGTGGGTTAATGTGCCTGACTGCACAGTCGGTTTGAACCGCACGGTCAGCAGTTCAAGCTCACCAGCCACTCCTCATAAACCCTATACAGGGTCGCTGTACTTAGCAACAACAATTTGTTTGCGTTTAATTAAGGAGGGTATTTCCTGGTGTGACGCTATGGGTTAATGCGCTGGACTGCAAGGTAGGTTTGAACTACAAGGTCGGCGCTTCAAGCTCACCAATTCTTGGAAACCGTATTCTTGGAAACCCTATACAGGGTCGCTATGGGTTGAAACTAGCTCGTTGGCACTTAACACAATAACACGGTATTTCCAGGGTTTAGGTCAGAATGGGCTGGGAGCAGCCCCTCTGCCTCTGCTTCGCCCTGTCAGTCCTCCAGGGAAAGGGGGCGCTGTGGAGCTGCAGTCCTGGTGGGCAAACATACCAGGGTCGCCAAGCCTGAGACTCAGACGAAGGGTAGGATGGCGGCTCCCAGGGCGAGTCAGACGGCGCCTTGGGGGACTGCTCACTGTGCGGTCCCCACTGCGCCAGCCTGGACGTTCTTGAACCTCTGGAACGGCACCTTTGTGACCGCAAACGGTGCCTTTGTGACCTGTGTTTTCTCTGGGAGAGGACCAAAGCAGGTGGAAAAGACAGGCTAGAGGAATATACCATAGTCCTCGGAGACTCCTTTCACCCCAGAGGCCTCTTACCAGACTAGCCAGCCTCTCCTGGCACTAAGTGACTTCTCGACTCAATCAACACTCAGTCCCTCACCCGTTCACTCTCCATGCTGTTCAGTCCCTCAGGTGCTATCTCTTCACTCATCCACTTAACAGCAGCCCCATCTACCATCTTCTTCCTCACCCCTCACTCAGACCTCACACAACCTTCCTCACTTCCTGCTGGGTACATACATACTTACTCTTGTTTAACTCAAAGGAGCCCAATTCTTCATGCTCTATGGAAAAAAAATAATGGCAGTAACATCAGCAGTATGGAGATTACCCATCATTCTCTGTGTGAAGCATGGAATGGGGCGCTACCTGACTTTGGTCTTTTAAAGAGGAACATGTTTCATACAAATGGCCCTAAAAAATATGCTGACGTTCCTTCCTCTGAAGGAGGGCTAAAGTGAAGAAACAGTTACTGTTTTCAGGGCTGAAGGAAAATGATTACGGAAACTGGTTTATCTATAGGAATTCTGACTCCATGAGATTTCCACTTTACCTAATTTCCAGAGTGAATTGTGGTGTGCTGTGCACTGGAACTGGACTGCAAGGTCAACAGTGCAAATCCACCAGTCGCTCTTCGGAAACCTTACACAGGGTCCTGATGACACTTAGCAGCAACAGTCAGCTGTACTGAAGTTTCTAACCCCTTCTCACCCCTGGTGTGGTGCTGTGGGTTAATAAGCGGGACTGCAAAGTTAAACTGCAAAGGTAGCGGTTCAAGCACACCAGCTGCTCCTCGGAAACCCTATACAGGGTCACTGTGAGTTGAGACCATCTTGACGGCACTTAACAACAACCTCTAAACTTTTGGAACAATATATGTTGTAGAACTTACCGTATTCTTGGGGTGGTATGTGCCTCTGAGTCCGTTCTGACTCATAAGCAACCTTGTATAGGGTTTCCAAGAGCAAATGGTGGGGCTGCATGCCAATCTTGAGGTTACCAGTCTAGTGCTTATCTTTGGTGTTAGGAAGGTAATACGGTATATCCTGGATAGAACAGAGAAACTTCTTGCTCCTGATGTTGCTGGCAACTCTCTTGAAGCATGAGGGAAGTCAGTTTGAGGTCAAGGGTCTGGGCAGCACGTCCAAATCAAACACACTAATATATATACAAGGAAACCCTATTCGTGCCAAATAGGGTAACAATTATGAGCAGCATCATGACAGGTCTCCCTCCAAATGATTCCCTTAAAGTGTTTAGGGGCAAATATTACCATCCCATTTCATAGATAAGGAAACTGAGGTTTTGAAAAGCAGAGTGGTTTTTGCAGGCTCATCCAACTAGAAAGAGAGACAGATTTGAATGCAAAGCTGACTCTGTCTAGAGCCTGGTGCCTTTCCAGCGCCCAGAATGAAACCACAGCTCCCAGCCCGGCTGCTCCTCTGGGAGCTGATTTCTCCCATCTCTCTGATATTTAAAGGGTTGCTCCATACATAGCCCAGTGACTCACACATTTCAAGTGTCAACGACTGAAAAAAATGATTAAGTACAATTAAGTTCAGGACTTGTTAAAAATAGACTTTCCTCAGAAGAATCTACTTTTTCTGCCTTTAGGGATACAGTCCTCAGCAGCTAGCATGCAGAGAAGTACACGGCTTTTTCATTAGAACATGTCAAAATCAGTTCAGCTAAAGGGATCATCAACTTCCACCAGTGGGGCTTGGAGCAGGGTGAGGTGCCAGCCTGCCAAAGTGATGAGCCATTGGTGAGAAAAACTGGCAGTAGCAGACTCTACAAAACAGAGGCAGAAGTCAGAGCCAACCTGCAGAGGAGCTGAGCAAAAGGCATTTGGATACAGACCCAGGAAGCTGCCTGTCTAAGTGCCTCTGGGTGTAAGGATCAGAAACCCACTCAGATGAA